GTGCCCTCACACGGCCTGCTTGGCATGCCCTTCGCAGTGGGAAAAACTCTTATTAAAGATCATTTCCAGCGGGATCATGTCAGGCGTTGGGAGAAAGTTGCGACCTGCAGACAAGCGAAACTGCTTATGAGAGGGCAACTAAGAGTTAGGACCAGAAAGCTTCTGGAGTTGCACAGAGGGGATCTGAGGGTAGCAGTAGGGCTCCTTACGGGTCATACAGCTCTCAGAGCTCATCTGTTCAAGATGAAACTTGCAGAACAAGAAGACTGCAGACTGTGCGGAGGCGATAAGGAGGGCGTCATCCACATTTTATGTGAATGCCCCCTATTAGCACTCCGTCGCTATAAAATCTGCCGCCGGGCCCAAATTCCACACCAATTTTTCATCACAAATTTCCACATAATATTCATCTGAAAATTTAACACAATTTTCAAACCGAATATTCCACAGATTTTCCAAGTGAAAAAACCCACTCCATGAAAAACCGGTGAAATTTGAAAATTTTTCGAACATATAATCAATTGTATAATGAATGCAGAATCTAATGATCTAAAAGTCTTTTCCTTTTTCTCGACATATTTATTATTGACACGTACGTCAAAAAATTNTCCCAGCGCTGTCGCTGGAAAACTCTATAGTTTTCCAGTGATTCTATTGAATAATTGTGCAGATTTTGTTTTTTTTTTACTATAGTAATGTTCGATTATATATATTTATTCCCCCCCTGAGTGAGAAAGGAATATGTATCGCGCTCGCTCCCACTCATTGTCGTCCCCGTCGCGTTGGCACGTGCCCGTCCTCCGCCAAACTTAACGAGTGCGAGTGAGAAAGAAAATGGAGAAGAAGGAGAGAGAAAACATTCCAACTCGTTTGAACGGTTGGAACGTTTTTGTTGTTCTTCAGCGATCTACACATAATGGGATCAATTCAATAATAATAGATTAATGAATAAGATTTTTCGCAGATTATCGCGAGATTTAGATGAATGGTTTGCCTCCTTCAGTGACCATAAAAAATTGTCTCCAATCGACAATATCTCCCGATGGAATGGAACGAACAATTTGAATCTAAAAAATTAATCGAGTGAAAAAAAATCAGGGAATTCCACTCTGACATTTCTCTATTGTCTGTATTTATCGAGAAAAAAAAAAACGTTCCTAGGAATCGATGTCTTTTTTAGGCAGCTGCATTTCTGAAATGCAATGAGCAAGCAATGTTAAAATTAAGTCATTTTGTAAAAAANTCAGTGACCATAAAAAATTGTCTCCAATCGACAATATCTCCCGATGGAATGGAACGAACAATTTGAATCTAAAAAATTAATCGAGTGAAAAAAAATCAGGGAATTCCACTCTGACATTTCTCTATTGTCTGTATTTATCGAGAAAAAAAAAAACGTTCCTAGGAATCGATGTCTTTTTTAGGCAGCTGCATTTCTGAAATGCAATGAGCAAGCTGTCGTGTTTTGAATTTATTCAAAAAAATTGATTTCGTTTGTAATTTTATTTCTCACTAAATGCGACTTATTCGTTGCCCACCGGACATTGAGTTGCTGTCGATGCAGCTCAATTTACCGGGCTACCACGCCACGCGCGGCCTTCAATAGTCAAAATTGCAAACGCAGCGCAACTGCACTGTCGTTTTCGGGCTCTATATGAACTCTTTTTCGATATTTATTCAGTCTCGTCTTCGATGCCAAATCGGCACGTCTATTCGATCGAACTCCTCGGGCTCTATCCTCATGATCGTAGCATCGGAATTGGTTATCAGCCCTTCTTGACGTTCCATGGGATAGCCCGGGTTATCCAGATAAATCAAATACGCACATCTTCGTAGAGGTTGACTCTGGTGCGAAACGGTCGGTGAACTGCGAATTGTTCACTACGTTTTCGCGACAATAAGTGCAAGGACACATTATTAGAAAATTATAAAAATTAAATGAAACCATGCAAGGACACAATTAACTCAAAATTCAAATCATAGTGCGATAAGTGAAACGAACTTCATTAGAAACTTAAGTGAGACTAATGTGAAAATCAACTTATTATTATTCTACACGAAAATCATTTGGAAAATGACTTTGGATTACTTCTACTATTGGTTTGTACAAAATTCGTCCGACATTTATTTTGGCCTTTTGCGATTTTCAAATTTATAAAATCAAAATCTTCAAATCAATAAGCTAACGTTGAAGATCAGTCGAATTCTCTCTCTCCTTTGGTCCCCTTCTTTTTTATGTTCAATTAAAATCTCTTCAAACAATAAATATCAGAATTAACTTTCATTCAAATTCCTTTTTATTTCAAACCCCTGACTTTATCATTATTGTTCTTCAAATTGCAAAACATCAAAGATTCAAATGATAGATGCAGATGCGCCTCGCGCTTAAAAGGTAAGGATCTGCTAAACAAAAATATTATTTTATCCCGATAATAAGAAAATAAGAGATAAAGCATTTAATATTTAATTGAATTTGTTATTAAAATTTTTTTGTTATCACAGTAAAATTGGTGTCAGAAGTGGGATCCTTAGCCTGCACTATCGTTTCAATTTTTCTTCCCTCAATTTTCTAAAAGTTCAAAAAGAATTTTCTTTCTAATTTTAGAATTTGATTAAATTATTTCTATCCCTTTTGAATTTTGATTAAATTTATAATCAATTCAAGCTCACAATTTTTCCCAATCTTTCTAAATTACAAAAAAAAAAATTGAATCCCTCAAAATTCTCCATGAATTATTATTTCATCCTTCAAATTGTAATATTCTTCACAATTTCATATTTAATCTTCATTTTCTTTTCAACATTCATTCATTTTCTTTTCATTTTCTTTCGAACATTCGAAAATACTTTTGAAAATCATTCTTAATTCAAATTTGAAAAATATCTATATTTTACAATTTTTATTTTTGTCATTTTGATTTGACAGTTATAAGACATTTTTCGAAATTAGAAATTTCAACACATTGAAATTTTCTTTACTTTCATTTCTTGTCTTTCAAGGATATTCGTCAATTTCTTCCTTACGTTTCAAGCTAAACAAAAAAAAATTACCCTTGAAAATCAAATTGAATTTTCAAAATTTTTCTCAATTCCATTTCTCAATAATTTTCATTTTCTACTTCTATTTATTCAATCCATGAAATATTTTTGAATCACTTTAATGTTTGAATTATAATCGGAAATTATATCGTCAACTTCAATAAATTTGAAACATTTGTTAATTATTGTTCTCCTTCAATTGAACAATTGATTAACCTCTAACAATTGATTTACATGAGTCACTAATTATTCTCAATGAAATAATTTTATTTCAGACATTTTTCTGCACTTTTGGGAATATTTCAAACCTCAATGCGACTCAGAGATTCTCATTCATGTGGCTCCTCGCTCCAGAATAATTTTCAATTGTATTTTCATTCTCGAGCTAATATATTCAAATAGTTACGCATTAAACTTACGGATTTTTGACACAAATTTAGAATTCTCAATTTTCCATCCAAAATTTTGTTCTTTTGAAAAATATCCTATATGCTTCTCAGTCTTCTTTGAACTATCATTTCACGCTGGATTGCATTTCTCTGGGTAATATCTAAAAAAAAATTATTGTAAAATATTTAGTTTTTTTGCCTGATTAAAACAACAATTTATTTCCAACAATTTATTTCATTGTTTCTTATTGAACACCAGACACTTACATATTTTTCTCGAATGAACGTATGATTGTAAAATTGAACAGTTGATGCGGTCATTTAAGAGTTTTCAATCGATTTTCCATTTCTTCTGGTAAACTAATGAAATCGAAAATTCGAATTATTTATATTAGAAAAAGGAAATTATGATCCTTAAATGTTCATTCAAATTCTAATCATCAAAATGATTGATTACTCGGATAAACCCATGATAAATCCATCATTCGACAACATTCCATATTTTACGGGACTCAATTGCTCGCAAATCAAATTCCTTGAATTTGATATATCCGTACGGACATTTTTGAGCAAATATGACCCGGTGAATTGTGGAACTATTAATGACGTTTTGGATAGAACTGAGTATCCAACAACATTATATTTAGATCATTCTTCAATTCGATCTGTCCACGATATTCTCGATCATCTATATCGCAAATATGGAGGGATCTATGGCCCCTATGATTACATTCAATTAATCAATGAAATTACACCGCGTTACTGTAAAAATCTTGCTGATTTCACCCTCCGTTTGCAGGAAATTGTTAGACATGTGCAGGACTATATGCAATGTCGCGATTTCTTTGAATTTGAACAAGCTTTGAGAATCCTCGAACGTGGTGCCCTTCAAAAGCTCAGTGGAATCTTACCAGAGAAGTATGCTCAGTATTATCGTGCCCATTTTATAAAATCTTTCCGTGATGCTCATTCCAAAATCATCGAAATTTACCACATTGTTCGAAAACAGGTAGAAGAAGAACGCGATCGCGACTTACTTTATGGTAATGTCAAGTTCAGTGAGAGTTCAAAAATTCAAGAAAATTCATGTCCTCAATCTGCAAACATCAATTCTGATGCTGATGCTCAAGTGCCAAGTCAAACTCAACTTATAATTCTAGATGTAAAATTATGCAGAATGCCTATTCTTTCTCCTGTTGAAATTTCTAATGAAACTGAGGATCTCACTGCCTTAGAAGGAGTTCAATCATTGTTCGAATTCAACGAAATCATTTCTGACCCTCTAAAATATTCAAAAGTGAACTCACTCTCACCTCAAAATTTTGAGTGCTTACTTGAAGAGTCATATGGAACTCATCACGCAGTATCGAGTGTAGAATTATCCCTAAATTCAGCGACTCTATGGTAGAATTCCCTGGTCAGAAAGACTCGTTGATTCCTATTGGGTACAAATTGTGGTAATAAGAAATGATGACGTTATTGTCATTTCCATATTGGATCTCATTGGTTTGTTTTTGAGCGCGAGAGAGATCAGTCTTGGAAAAAGTAATGGGAATCAACAAGACCAATAAGATCCCATTGGTTCTTGAAGACTGCCATGTTTGGAGCCAGGCAATGAGAATGAATTTTCTTTAGGTTTCAATGGGATTTCCGTTTGTATCCTATTGATAAAATGTTTACTCAGTGCTTGAAGGATTGTTTCATCGGTAAAGATAGATTACGATTTCTGGTAAGTACTATCATATTTCTGGGATGATGAAATTTATTAATATTAGAGTTAAAAAATATATTTTAAAGAGATAAATGTCATCTATTTTCTGTTTCCATATGGAAAGTTGACTAATCGCTAGAATCACGTGACAACATTCACTGAAGGATAAATGTAGCTGTCTTTTGTGACAGACACAATCAATAATATCTTGTTACTAAAACTATAGATGTTTCTGTGAATATAATCATTTTTGGGGAGTACATCTATTTACTATAAGCATTAATAATTTTGGCATAGTTTTCCAATATCACTTGAATTTGGCAATTTCAGACCTCGCCTTCGGCTTGGCCTGTAACTCTTACACTCGTCAACAACTACTTTTTTTCACTTGTATCGTAATATACTATTTTCAAACTGATTATCTTCGACTCTATCCAATGAAAATGACTGAAATTTTCGCCAAGAATTGAGGGCGTCATAACAAAGAGCCGTCAACTATACGTTTTATGATTTATGCAAAGAAAAAAATTGCAGAATAAATTTTTTTTGCATAAATCCAAAAAAGTGCAGTTGACTGCCCGCCGTTATGTCACCCTTAATCCTTGCGGAGGGTTTGGGCCATTTTCTTGGGATAGAATCGAAAATAAATCGTTGGGAAAATCATCACTCTTCCCTACTCCGATGGTAAATTCTATTTCCTCTTCACAGTAAGGATTTTATGAACAAGGAACAATATGCTTCAATGTCTCAGGTCTTCCATAATCTTTAAATAATATCTATTCACGCTGAGCTCGTATTCCTGCCGCTGAATCATTATCGCTATCATTATCTGATGCATTTGGATCTAAGTCTTCCTCAAGATCCCAATCGAATTCAGACATGCTTGCCATAGGTTTCAGCCCTTCGCGATCATCTCCTTTCATTTTCTTTTTAATAATCGTTTTTTTTGTTTCTTTGGTTTAGCGTCGGTTTTTGCACGTGAAACTTTTGGCTTTCTTGCCTTTGATGCAGACTCTAAAAAAAAGAATATGAAATGGAGACGACTCAGTGATTAAAGCTAATTCAATGGAAATTGAGCTACATAATCACAGTAGCCAGATGTCCTGAAAACTGCTATCGATTTATGTTCTAGAACGTTATGAATAATCAATGTAATCACAGATCTGATACTCACTCTCTTTTGGTTCTCGTGCTTTCTGGTTCATATCGTTTATCTTCAGTCCCAAATAATAACCCACTTTGTTTACTTCTTCTAAAATCTTTTCCTCATTCGTCCATTTTCGATAATTCCTTAGGTAGAAATCAGTGATTTCTCGGATAGCAATGCATTTTGTGGGATCAAGTGCTTCTTTTTTCCCCCGGTCACAGCAGAAGTTATCCCAGTCACAGTAAAATTCTTCATCTCCTCACCAAAAAGGTTAAATCCCATATTTCTTACGAAGACGCTAGTTGAGTTAGCAGTCCACACAACTTCATCATAGTCTGCCTCTTTCATCCAAATGCCTTTTCCAATGTGGATATTTCTTACCTTGTAACAAAGAAAATTCTGTTAAAGAAACGTCACGAAAAAGCATATTTGTAATGGAAGGAAATTTATTTTCAACATGACATCTCAACGCGCACGATCACAATACAACGGTCCTCAATTTCATTTGAGAATTAATAATGGAACTTACTCCATTTTCGTCGAGTCGCACGAAACCAGATTTAGGATCCATGCCGTATCGTTCCATACCTTCACTAGGAGTTAGTTGTGGAGTATCTGTGAAATTTCGTTGTTTTGCGTGATTAGTGTGATGACAGTATCATCGAAGGAAGTATTCTTATGCTCAATATACTCACTTTTTAATTGCTCCCAGTTATCTACAAGAACATTAACTTTTTTTGTTAAATCTTCAATGAGTTGCACGACTTTTTGCTGGCTTCTCTCAATGGATCTTTTCAGTAGGTTCGTCATATTGATGTGCTGAGTACAATTATCGTTGCTCTTCTTATCCGAATCACGTGGTTGTTTCTTTTCAATGAATTTGGCCTAAAGGATTATCATCAATATCAGAATTAATACCCGAGTTCGAGAAGAGATAGAAAAAAATAGCCATAGAAGATGAATGAAGAATGAGAAATGAATAGTAAATATGGAATAATCAGCAAATCAAGGGTACCTTTGATGATGTCGGTAGAGGAACCTTTGATAATCGATCCATAGGCGAATTCACATTATTCATTTTATCGGAGGCATTATTTTCTCGGTTGAGTTGTACCTCAGGTGATGGCGTCTGGAAATAATTACGATACTTATTTTTCCTTAAATCAGTCGACAGTCAACTATAGACTTCTAACGTACTTCTTTGGGCGGCATCAGGGTTCCCGCACTTATTCCCTAAGGAAAAAAACTTCCGGAAAAAATTTCCCGGAATTATTTTTTTCCGGAAAAAATTACTTGGGAAATTTTTTTTCCGGAAAAAATTACTTGGGAAATTTTTTTTCCCGGAAAAAATTACTTGGGAATTTTTGGTTTCGGAAAAAATTACTTGGGAAAATTTTTTTCCCGGAATTTAATTCCTTTTTTTTTACTTCCTTGGAAAAAATGTCAGAAAAAAAAATAGCATCCATTTTTTACATAAAAAATGTACAGAAAATAATTTTGACAGAAGTTCAGGGAAATTTTAGACTTAATGGGCATATTTTGGCTTTAGATTCTAGCTGAAAATGTATTGAATGGTGCGATAGTAAAATTGACGTTGGAAGGGATAGCGACAATCGACTGGAGATCAATTTCCCCCACTTATGACACTGTTTCGTGTAGTGTTTATATTGTGCCGTGGCTAATACCCAAATATATATGTATCCTTGGGAATTTCGTGAGCTCAAAATTATTTCCATTAACACAAGTTATTTTTTCCCAAAAAAATTAATACCGGAAAATTATTTCCAAAAAAAAATTTGCCAAATAATTTTTCCGGAAAATTTTTTTTCTCAAGTAGTTTTTTCCGGAAAAAAAATTTTCACAAGTAATTTTGAAAAAAAAAGTATTTTTCCGAGAGATTATTTCCAAAAGATTTTTTCCAAAGGAAAAACGTGCGGACACCGGCATCAGACGATGGGAAGTTGCAGATGAGTCAGGTTCTCGACTTGCATCGGAATACTCGTCAAAACTGGCCCATATATCCTCCATATCTTTGTCGTTTTCCAGACGCTTCTGAACATCAAATGGGATTTTGGAGAAATAAAAAAAAAGAGAGAAAATGAGATATCATATACTGATTGTAACCAAGAAAAAAATGTAGAAATGATGGAACTAAGAAAAATGAATAGACATCATTGCAGCAAAGGACAAATCCTCAACTTAAAATCCTAGCGAATTCGCTGGAAAATTTTATTAGATTTCTAATGAATTTCCTGTTATTTTTTTGCCGTTTCTATTGACATATTGAATAGAAAATATAATATGGAAAAAGTCAATAGAATTCCACTTTTCTATAGAACTTATTCTATTGAGATATTTTCTCAGAAAGTTTCTCGGCTCAAATATTCTAAATTTTTTTCATTCAGTTTTTATTTTCTTCCCTTCAAGAAAATCAAACAAAAAAAAATTTGAGCCAAAGAAATCCTGTGGGAAATCGATTTCTATTGACTTTTTCTATAGAATATTTCCTATCGAACATGTCAATAGAAACGGCAAAAAATATTAGAAAATTCAATAGGAATCCAATAGCATTTTCTAGCGGATTCGATAGGATTTTCTATTGGATTTTTTCATACGTGAGATCTCAAAGGCGTATGCGATTATAGAGATTAAGCTTCCAGTGTCGGTCTTTGTTTACTAATTATGAATTACATCTCGAAATAGGAGTAATCTTCGTACTTGTGAGGAGTTTCCCGGCAAAACCTCGATGACAGTCTTAGTGAATCCATCCTCGTTTCTGTGATCTACTGTGACGGTCGTCACAAACAAAATTTATAAAAGAAAATTTGCAAAAAGAAATTTAAAAAAAGAAGTGAAAGAGAAATCGGCAGAAAGAAAATTTGCAAAAAGAAATTTAAAAAAAGAAGTGAGAGAGAAATCGGCAGAAAGAAAAATTTGCAAAAGAGAATTTATTGAGAGAGAAATTCAAATTACCGACGCGAGATAAAAGACGGCGGTCGGTAAAATCGCGAAATCGTAAAACTACTGAAGCGCCGATAGGGGCGCGAACTATCCGAGTTTCGCCGCGTGATCACGCTGATTGGTGGGAGTCGCGGCCAATCAGGAGAGAGTCAAGAGTAGTAGAGTGGGAGAAGAGGCCAAGGGCAGCGCGAAGCATATAAAAGGAGCGGCAGTGCAGCGAAAAATCAGTCTCTCGCTCAGACTCAGCTCACTAGAGGGGTTTCCCTAGTAAGCAACCTAAAGCGGCCTAAACCGGAGGGGTATCCCCGGTAAAAGCCAAGCCCGAACCTACACCAGAGGGGTATTCCTGGTGGAAGTTCCGATAGGAGGTCTAGTTCGGAGGGGTATCCCCGGACAAAGCCATCCCCAGAGAGAGAATTAGAACGGCGAATCCCCGTTGAAGCCAGAGGGGTATCCCTGGTGGAGACGCGAATTCCCCTTTAGAAGGTGGAAGCCGGAGGGGTATCCCCGGTGGAAACCATTAGGGAAGAACATTGGTTCAGAGGGTGGGAAAGTCAAATTTCCTTTAGAAGGCTGAAGCCGGAGAGGTATCCCCGGCGGAAGCCAAGTCCGAGCCTACACTAGAGGGGTATCCCTAGTGGAAGCTCTTTAGGAGGTCTATACTGGAGGGGTATCCCCAGTAGAAACCTAATCATCCCACTTAAGCCAGGGAGGGATCATAAAGCCGTTTAAGTTGAGGAAACGTAGCAAAAGCCGCAGAGAAATTAGTCATTAAAAGATTAAAATACTCATTGTAAAAGAAAAGTAAAAGTAAAACAAGGAATTGTCAAATTACCATCAGATCTTGAAATTCGCAAAACTTTGCGTTAAGAAAGAATAGGAGTGAATTGAGCGTGGTGCGCCCTAGAGAAATTGATTAGACAGAGAGCATTAATTAAAGACCATTGAATGGGTAGGTCATCTTCCCCAAAAAGACTTGGTAGCCGATGATGAAACACCATTCAAAAATATGAATGAGTACTGAGGCCAATTAAAATAAGTCTAATTTTAGTTAATATCCTTATTCCCAGAAATCATAAGGGAAATAATCCTTTCCCAGTCGAATCACGGCAAATTAGTCACCGGAAATTAAAAGAGTACACAGCCAGTACAAAGTCACGTAACAATTGCATCTCTCCAGTCTTCATCTGATTCGTTGTTAGCATTAGGCAGTTTTAAAAAAAATATTAGGGTTAAGACAAGTACACTTGCAACAATAAGGCAAGTCTCGTTATTCTCTTCCATACGGGCATTTTGAGGTGGCTCAACAAGGCACAGCAGGGCGCATCTCCGAGTTTGATCTTCTCTCAATATAATTCTTAGAATAGTTAATGGGACGTTATAGTTGAACCTTCCTCTCTCACTTCGTAACTAAGACTCACTCAGAACACGAGCATTAGCTTGTTAACATTTAGGAAATAAGAAATAAAGGAAAAATTCGCGAAAACTAGCAGTTAATAATTACACCAAACGGTCTGGTAGTGTGTTGCCGGGTTTTGAGAATTCGTCTGGTCGCATAATCATTGGTATTGATACATGGTATTACTTGATAAGTTCAATGGCAAGAAGCATGCACAAATATAGTTGAAAAAGATTTGTCAGAAACTCGTAGTTAATAAGTTTTTTTTATGTTAAATTTTGATTTTTGCATTTGCATTTTGAATAAACGTTCTTTTGGTTTGAAGCGATTTAAAAAAACGTTGTCCGTGTAAGTTTTGTATTTGTGCCAGTACCCCTCACTTATTCGAACCCTGGTAACTCATGAGCTAAGAGGCATATCTCCGAGGGTATTCCGAATTCATTTCGGTCGAGCACTGGTTGAATAAAATTTGGATTAGAGAATTCGAAAATAGTTCATTACACTACGTTTTCTTTTCCGCGTTCATTATTGTAGATTGTCGAAGCTCTTTTATGTGCAGCAGCCACCTCATTCCTCTACAAATGGAGAAAGAATGAACAGGGAGGAAGCTTACGGATCTATATCAACAGAGGTGACTATTTCGTTCAAAGCTAATTAAGAACAATAATCCAACTGATTTTATAACGTTATACGACATTTGAGAATAATGTTGATAAGTTTTCGTTATACCAGTGATAATGGAAACCCAGAAATATCAGTAGTTACCACTGATAGCACAGTAGGTTTAGCTTTAATTTTTCCAGCCATTTCATTTTTGTCCTGAAGGAAAAAAATTGTCGGTGTTGATGGGAGTAATGTTTCTTTATGCAGTGAGAATATGAATAATAAAAATAATATTTGCAGTTAAAATCCCCTATGATGCGTCAAAGCGGGTCTATATGTCCTAAAGATCGAAATATCGTTCTCCTCTGGAGGACCACTATTGTAGTACGTCTTTTTAAGCATTGTATAGACTACCAACTATTTCTCACCTGAACTTGATTTGTCACATGCTCAACTTGATTCTTATTCTCAGTGACTTCTATTTCTGTGAGTCGTTTTCTGGGCTTCTAAAAATAGAAATAAGGAATAAGATCAAGATCTCAATGTTCCTCATTTCTGACTAAACTTACTTTTTCCATGTTATTTCCTGGTAGTATGCAAGCTCGTTTAGATAGATAATTAGTTGAGTTAAGATTATCTTCTTCGTCATCAGAAGTTTCCAATTGCGTTTCCTATTGTAAATCAATTGTGTATTTACGCATTGCCGTCGAAAATTGTAAGTAGAACTTGGAATAGTATATTATAGTATAAAATCGATAAAATTATTGTTCGACCAGTGTGAATGCATAATCCTGGTCAAATTCACATTAATTGGGGAGTACTTTTTCGGGTCGGCGGGTGCAAATTAAGTATACATTTCCTGGACTTTGCCCTTACGCCGTTGTAAACACTACTGATCTAACCAAGGGAGGTAAAATAAAGAACCCTTACCCATGTGCTTACCACCGTCGCCTTCAGCTGCTTGATTCCGCATGTGGGCGACTCCTTTATTTTACCTCCACAAGTTGAAAATATAGGACTATCGCGAAGATTCAACTGAATAAAGGTTATCATAATGTGAATGTGGAATACAGTTTCAACTTACTCTGTCTATTTTCGCCAGGTATATTGCCTTTTGTGTTTTCATTGTTCTTTTTAAAAAATTTACTCCGGTGTCTTCTAAATCCATCAGTACATGTGTCGAAATTGGAGCATGTAGATGATCATGCTCCATCATACCAGTGACGCGCTCATTCTGTGCATTATTTTTTGGAATGGTAGATTTACCAGCAGTGGGAAGCTCTTTTTTCAACTTTGCCTTTACAAAAAAAACGAAAAAAAAAAATTCTGTAGAAGTTGGTTG